AAACGAATAGATCTTTACATGGTGGCCTAACTTTTGCAAGTTGGATTTCTAGGCCACCACGTCAAAATGGCCTAGGAAATACACTAGACCAGGTCATTTCTAGGCCATTGGTGGCCTAGAAAACCCAACTTGAAAAAGTAAGGCCACCATGTCAAAACGTTTTCGTTTAATGTCGAAATATTTCTCGAAACCGTGCCAAAGGGATACATTGGTTGTAACTAAGAAAAGTTTTTTTCAGAGACGACATCGAATTCTACGGAGCTTGCACTTTTCTTCATGACTGCGGAGAGCTCGTGCGATTCGAGGATGCCACACTTCGCGATTTGATCTTCGTGGATCCTCTCTGGCTCGCCGAGTTCCTAACCTCCATTGTGATCCTTAGAAGCCCCAATCTACCAGCCGGACTCTTATCAACAGACGCCATTAACCCACTAACCCGATCTTTCAAAACTGGAGCCCTCGCCATGCTCAAAACCCAACTTCTGGATCTTCTTCACAAGTTCGAATTGGCTCTGGCTACACAACCCCGGCAACTTCTGATCCCGAGTCTTCTCCCAGACGAATACAGACTCCGTTCAGACTTCTTGACGTCTGCAGTGAAAATTCGAATGAAAATGACGCAGTGGAACGTTCGGTGTCCAAGTCCGGCGGGGTCTCCGGCGAAGTCACCATTGCGAAGGACATCACCAACTCAGGCTAACGATGCAGAAGACGTCATGCTTCATTTCACCTACGACGATGATCAGTTGCTTCGAAGGATCTATGCATTGGCTTATATTCCATCAGGATTCTGGAGTCGTCTAGTGACGCGGATCATGGGAGACAAGAATGTATGTGCTGCCATTGAGAGTATCTTCATGACCACTAGTGCCGATAGAGCAAAGATAGCGGACATCGCGACGAAGCACGCTAAAGCAGAATGGGTTGTATGGCAGACAGGGATTGAGTTGCACGTCAAAGGACACTCTCTGTTCACTTTGAAACAGTTTTTGCCGCTAGCGGAGGTAAGCAGAAAATATCTAGAAGGTTCTTTGACCTCTTTGAATTTCAGATCCGCGACATCGACTACAGTAACCTAGACATGCGAGCAAAGGATGAGCAAAAGCGGTGGCGAACTTGGAATCAACCGGCACATCGTCCGATTTTTGAGATGGTCGTCAACTCGCTGAGCATCTCGACCGCATCTCAACACGGTCGTAAGCTATCAATGAAAACCGACGTAGAGGGTAGAAGCCGTTTATTGGCGCTGATATCAGATTTATTGGACACGTTACTCGAGGACTGGTAAGCTTTTAAAATCAAGAAAAAGTTAAAGGTTTGGAGGCTGACGTCTTCTAATGGGTCGAAGTTCCCAGACGAGTTTCAGCCATATTGAAGGCGTGAACAATGGGGATGTTTGTCTGGAAATTTTTTGACAATCTAAGAGGGATTACCGTCTTCTGAACCCTTACCAGAAGCTTGAGCGAACGCTCTTTGACAGATGCGTGAAGCTCGACAGGTTCCTCGTCGTCACTATCATCAGAATCGTCATGTTCGACTTGAGCCAAAAGCTCCTCGTACGTCTTCTTCTTCAGCTGAATCGCTGGTTGACGACCGTACGCTTTTTTGTAGTCGAATGGGATGTTCAATTTCTCAGCAACAATTTTCGCATAATCGAAAACTTTCGGAGCATCTTCCGTCTCATTCATCTGGAGTAGAACTTTCAGAATTGACAAATCTGGAGACCACTCACAGTTGTTTGATGTACTGGTTCCTCCATCTTTTTTTTCCAGGAGAGGAGCAGAAAGAAAAACTACTGATATCTGATTAGACACGTCTCTCCCTATCAGCTGACAGAAAAAGACTTTCAAAACGCCAATGATTCTCGGTCGAGTTCACGGAATTTGAATTGAATCTTTCAGGTATCCTGCTCTGGGAACTCGCTTTGTGCATAGTTCGGAAGGCGACCTACTGGTATCCAGATACGTTTTATGTCCACAGTGTGTGAGAGACACAGAGAGAAGTGCTTCAAGAAGCCACGTGTCATCGGCAGCATCTCATAGGCGGTCTCAGGATGATGGAGAGATTCCAGGGAATAGGTGAGCAGGGTGCTCCACAGAGCAGCGTCTTAGACTCACAAGAGCTTCAGACTGAGCTTCAGACATATCTCAATAACTTCATTTTTTAGCACGTCTCATATGAAAGGTTCTCGAACGACAGGAGACATCTCGAAATGCCGTCCCGGCGTTGTCCATTGCTTTGTAATCGAAGAATGTATGCTGGCTGGCCGCGAATACAATTGGGTTGAATGCCCATCTCATGGAGGTCTTCATATGAGAGAACTCGCACCGGATACCGTATTCGCTGACATTGAAAACGCTCTAACCATCCACGTGGATCAGCTGAAACGAAGTCGAATGCTAGGAAGAGGAGCGTTCGGATTCGTGTTCCGTGCTACAGTAAGACAACCAAATGGAGAACTCTGCGAGGTTGCTCAGAAAATGCTGGAGCCAGTGGATCCGGGACCAGGAGGACGGCCATCAGCACTAGCTGCTTATAAAGCGGCCGCTGATAAATGGAAGAGGGATAGTATGGAATTTGCATGTCGAGCATACTGTACCTCGAGACAAGAGCTCAGTTTGTTGAGCCGGATGAAACACCCAAATGTGATAGGATTAGTAGGAGTCTGCACCTTCCCATTGTCTTTGGTAGTGGAGCTGGCACCCCTTGGAGCTTTGAACCAACTTCTTGGATCTCATAGAAAAGCTGGAACCAAACTATCGCTAGGTGTAATCAAGGAGTCAGCTGTGCAAGTGGCTCGAGCCCTGGAATACCTTCATTCAGCTCATATTATATACAGAGATCTCAAGTCGGAAAATGTGCTCGGTTGGAGATTCCCAGCACCATTCAGCCCTCAAAATGATGTTTTGTTGAAGCTAGGAGACTATGGAATCTCAAGAAGTGTTCTTCCATCCGGTGGAGCTAAGGGATTCGGAGGAACAGAAGGATTCATGGCTCCAGAGATTGTCAGATTCAATGGAGAGGAAGAGTATACACAGAAGGTTGATTGCTTCTCGTTTGGAATGTTTCTTTACGAATTGCTGACTCTTAAGTTCCCATTCGAGGGAGAGGAACATGTCAAAGAGAGAATGCTAGATGGAGCCCGCCCGGTGCTTCTTCCCCATGAGCTCTTGCTCCCCACCCCGATGTTAGACCTTCTGGTACACTGCTGGTCGGCTCATCCCGAATCCCGCCCGTCGTCTTCTCAACTAGTCGGATTCTGTGCTGCTCCAGAATTCACGCATCTTCTAGACGTTTGTGAACTTGGAGAAGCGCTCCCGCCAAGTCAACTAATGGCAGTTCCGATAACTGATGAGATAGATGATCCGGATGATTTTGAAGCGCAGTTATGGCTCAGCGGAAGAGAAATGGTTGTCATGGGATGCACACAATATGGATTCGTCGACCAGAAATCGATTGAATTGCCACATCGATCGAAATATGTCAGCAAAATTCGTGATTCTGTGTGGTCTTGCGACGAGTGTGGACAAGTTACGGTTTATGGAATATCTCTACACGAAACTGGCCATCTACAGCTACCTTCTCTCAATGGGACACTGGTAAATTCTTTCTAGCTCGGCTTTTTTTTATTTTTAAAAATTTCAGATTCGCGCTCCCGAACTTATTAGCAACGATGTGCTGGTGCTAATTTCTGAGAAACAAATCGTGCTACTGAGACTATCCGAAACGAATTCGGTGAGTTTTTTTTTCTCTAAAAATTTGAAAAAAATACCTGAATTGTCGGCCAAAACCCAGTCGCCGATCCTCCTTCCAGTTTCTGAAAAAAGAAAATTAAAAAAAATAAATCGAAAATTCGGAAAAGGGACGATTTTCACAGGAAAAAAAACATTTAAAAAAGGAAAAAACCACAAAAAAATTTTGACCGAAAATTCTACAGCAATCTTTTAAAGGAACATTATCCGAGGGTGTTTAGAGTTTCGACACGAAATTAATTTTTTGTGAAAAAAAACGAATTTGTATAAATTTTTTTGAGCAGCATTTGACCGAGAAATTCCGAAAAATTACAAAATTCAAACTTGCAATTTAAAAAACGTATTTTTCAAGCTAATTAGGCTCGTTTTTCATAGTTTTTGAAGAAAAATATCCTTAATTCCATGACAAAATTCGACTAAACATGCTACCGTAACCTTTCAAAGGAACATTATTCAAAGATGTGTGAGGTTTGACACGATATCAGTTTTATTACAAAAAAAGAACTTTCAAAAGGTTTTTTTGTGAAGAATTCGACCGAAAAAATTACTAACATTGAATAAAACATATAAAATCAGAATTTTCGCTATTTTCTAGCTAAAAATGATTCAAATCAATAAATTCTTATAAAATGCGAAAAAAACCATATTTTCAAAATAATTTTACAAAACGAGAGGAAAATGATGGAAACGTAATTTTTCAGGTATCTCATCTCGGAACCTTCGACTCTCCTTATGAAATCCACACATCCACATTCCTCGACAACGGATCAACACGGCAAATCTGGACAGGCCACTCAGAAGGACGCATTTCCATTCACCACTTGGCCTCCAATGACACCTTCAGCTTCTCGTCAAGTCTCTATCTCCCCGACGACAAGTCGGTAGTTAGACAGCTAGTAGGCTCAAAAGATGCTCAAAAAGTGTGGATTTCCTTAGAAAAGAGCTCAAAAATCCAAATGGTGGAGGTAGAAAAACGACAAGTCACCGGCTCGCTAGATATACGAAAAGTGATGCCTGGAAGTGAAACAATTCATACAATCGACATGGAAATGGCTAGTCAGAACCATGTAACATATCTAGGGCTTCTAGAAAGAAACAATGGAGATCAATTGTATATTGGAACGTCGAAAGGGTTGCTGGTGATTGCTCATGCCGCGACAGTAAGATTTTTATTTAATAAATCTAATTGAGAATTCATTTTTCAGCTCCAACCGTTGTCTGCATGCCGTCCGTTTGAAGGAGACATTACATCAATATGTATTCTAGAAGAACCTTCTAGAGAAGAAGAAAGTATACGTGGCAAAGCGACGACGTTGAGTACGGCGTCGTCGGAAAGCGGGTTGGGATGGGTGCGCGAGAGAGTTAGTGAAACTGTTGATCGGTGAGTATTTCAGAAAACTGTATTTAATCGCGCCGTAGGTGCGGCAAACAGATGACTGTTTTTTTTTCAAAATAAAAATTTTATTTTCTAAAAGTCTTTTTTCAGTTTCCGCTCGAGCTCAGCCACGGTCGAAACCCAAGGAGCCGCGCTTCTTGTGTGCGTTGGCCGCCAATTTCGAAGTCTGTCCCATCGCTTCGTCTCTGAACAAAAACTCGCCGACGTCTACTCCATCGCAGTATGGCGTACGGAAGAATGGGCACTGTGATAATAATTTTTTTTGTCTTTCTTGTTTTTTTTTGTTGCTTCTGATCTCCAATAACTTTCCAAATTCCAAAAAAACGGCATTTTCCCCTTATTTTCTAGTCTTTGTTCTATTTCTATGCTATTCTTGTTCAGACAGGTTTCTTTTTTTCATTCTCTCGCCTCTTTGTTTATCGCATTTTCCAATAAATATGGACCATGGAAACCGTTCAAATTCAGTGAAATTCAACTTGATTTATGTCTCCAGCGGCGATGAACTTTGCGACCGAGATTTTAATTAAAGGCGCATGAACGAAAACAGCGAAAGTTTTTAGAAAACATTCATGCGCCTTCGATACAGTATCTCGCAATTAACTCACTCTGATAATTTTTTTTGGCTGTTTTTCCAGTTTATAAGGAAATCCATCTGGGAAATATTAAAAAAGCCGACGAGGCCGAACATTTCTTTAAAGGCGCATGGTCGGAGCTGAAGCCAAAACAGCTACGGCTTTTACAAATAAGTTCGTGCGCCATTGATACAGTAGCTCGCAATTATTTTATTTTGACCCCTTTTCGACTGTTTTTCTAATTTATGAGGAAATTAAGCTGATTATTCATAGGAATCTAAATAATTCAATTGAGAATAAGCAAAAACCTGAGGAAAAAAGGCGAAAATTAAATAATTCCGAAATACTGTATAAAAGGCGCATGAAGGTATTTATAAAAACCGTAGCCGTTTCCTCCTCAGGAACATACAGTATCAAAGGCGCATGCAATTATCCAAAATTTGGACTTTTTTTCCTACAGGACCGACAATGTATCTTTAAATTGTGTTTTTTCGATCGCAAGGTTCATCGCCACTGGACAAGAGTAATAGCATGGAAGAGAAGAGCACCCGATGGCCGAACAATTGAAAAACCTAGTCCGCGAGAGCCGCACACCACCGCCATCCCCCAATATTTGACAAGTAAATGTCTTGTACGATAACCGTTAATAAATATTTGTTTAATCTTCAAAGAATTTGATAATTTTTAAATAAAAATACAGCTGAATGACCTCTAAATAGTTGAAAAACAAAAAGATTCACACTACGGTTTTCCTCACATAGCCTTGGGAAATGGTCCCAAGTTTCAGAAACAGAGTTCAGATTTTTTTTTTGGTTCCTCTAAATTTAATATAATCCGGATCTAATTTTCAATAAATTCTCCACAAATGTTACTTTTCATATTTTTTCTTTTTCTTTTTTTTCTCCCTTTTCCCTTTTTTCCGTCACCTCCAAAAATCGATATGCCATCTGTGTTACACCATTGGCAGACGTTCTTAAAGAAAAGTTCGCGCATGGAAAAAGGGTTGGAAAGACGTTGAGAAAGAGATGGATAGTAAGACAATTTCTGGCTTTGTGTATCAGGATTACTGTAGGACTAATGTAGCATCTTGAAATCGTTGTTTTGTTTCTTCTTTTCTAAAAAATTGGTTATTGTTTTTTTGTTGTCATTTTAATCCTTGGTTCTTGCTCACTTTAATTTCCCCAAAATCTAGATTTTCATAAATTTTGTATTCCTGTGCCCAGACTACTGTAGCTGCATTTTTACTCTGTTAATATTTATTAAGAATCTTCCTCCACTATTCTTTTCGATTTCTCATACTACATATTTATCAATATGTCTCCCACTACTTCTTTATGATTCCCTCTTTTATAAATATACAGTACTGGCCAAAAAGGTATTCGCAAATAGTTTTTCGAGCATAACTTTTCTGAAACTTAAGGGATCGATCTGATATTTTAAGACAAAGTTTAAAACGGTAAAAGAAACTGATTCAACAACAAGAGTAGTCAAAATTTCAAAAAATTGAAAAAAAATCGAAAAATTCATGAAAATTGCAAAAAACCGGTAAATGGAACTTTGACTTCTGAGATCTAGGATAGACCGGTAAACGAAAAATAATAATAGAAAATGAATAAAATAGCTTTAGTACTTCGTTGGGAAGCCTTTGGCGTCGATTACCGTTTGACATCTTCTTGGCATCGAGTCGAGAAGGGTGTCGATGACAGACATCGGGATGGCCTGCCAGACATCTTGGAGTTGGTCGAACTTCTGGTTGGCATTCGAGGCACGAACCCCTCTAAGCTGTCTCTCGACATGCTCCCAGAGGTGTTCGATCGGATTCAAGTCCGGAGATTGACTTGGCCAGTCCAGAAGATCCACGTGGCGGCGTCGGAACCACTCCTTGATGTGCTTCGAGGTGTGCTTCGGGTCGTTATCCTGTTGGAAAACGAACGCCCGGCCCACAGTAGACCTTGCCCAGGGTCTCATTGTGTTCTCCAAGATGTCTTCATACACAAAGCGATCCATGATGCTTGTAATTCTTCTCAGCGGGCCGATTGAAGTCCCAGAGAAGCAGCCCCAGACCATCACCGATCCACCTCCATGCTTGACGGTTTGGAGCTGGTAGCTGGGATCGAACCGACATCCAACCGGACGGCGAATCCACTTGATACCGTCAGTACCGAACAGATTGAACTTGGATTCGTCGCTGAACACGTGATTAGCCCAATCCTGACGTCCCCAGTGGAGATGAGCTCTGGCCCATGCTACGCGGGCGATTCTGTTCTTCTTGCTGATCGATGGTTTCTTAGCTGGCCGTCGTCCATGGAGTCCAGCATCTTGAAGACGTCTTCTGACGGTTCTCAGGGATGGTGTGACTTCATTTGGAGTCTTCACGACCATCTGAATGTCCGTAGAACTCCTCTGGGGATCCTCTCTTGAAACTCGGACGATGTTCCGATCCATGTTCTTCGACGTGATACGCGGTCTTCCAGGCGATTTTCGCTCCACCAAGGCTCCCTAAACATTTTTTTCCATAACTATACTATTTTTGAATATTACCTCATCCCGAAACTGCTTCAAGATCTTCTCGATGGCACGTTTAGTAACATTGAACTGCTGCGCCAAGAGGTCCTTGGAACATCCACTTCTGAAGCCGATGACGATGGCTTTACGGATGTCCTGAGAGATGTTTTTTTTTTCCGAGGGGTCTGGCCATGTCTGTAAACAGTTTTAAATACATAGGAGCCAAAACCAACATTCTTAGAAACCATAATATCCAAAAATATAAAAATATGAAAAAATTGAAAAAAACAAAAAATTTCTGAAAATGATGCAATTTCCTTGTACGCAATTTGTCGTCACCGTGTACGACATGCACAGTAAAATTTTCAGATCGATCCCTTAAGTTTCAGCAAAGTTACTCTCAAAAAACCGTTTGCGAATACCTTTTTGGCCAGTACTGTAAATGTTTATTCTCCGTGGAGCGCGATTGCACACTTTTCTCTGGAGAGGTATACCGTACCTGACATCCGCTTGGATGCCACAAAATTTGTTTTTAGGATTCGTAATTTCTCAAATTTCTGAAAAGAAAAACATTTTGAAAAAAAACGCATTTCTTAAAAATGTGGTCTCTATTCAATTTTTCCCCAATTGGAAGGAACCTGGCTCCGTCTTCGATACGTTTCTTATTTCTTGAAAGTTATATTCCCTCGGGTTACTGTAGGACTACTGTAATAGCTTTTCATGTTTTTATCTCCTCTTTCTTTCTTCCATTACTGAATTTTTCTCTAATTGAAGTCTACGTCAACTTTGAGCTCAATTATCTCGGTTCCTGCAAAAGATATCAAAAAGTTTCAACTGATAAAATGTTTATCATAATATCACTAGTATTTTATTAGTTGACGAGTTTTTGATATCGTTCACATGAATCGAGATGAGTGAATTTAAAGTGGACGGTTTGGGTGCACTGAACGCTGAAGTCTTGAGTTTAATGATCACTGTATTTTTCTATTCCATTAAAAAGTATCTCAACATTTTTCATTTTTCATCTTTCAGAAAAACTCCAAAATGGCGGCCCCAAGAAGAAATTTCGCCATAATCTACGAAATCAAAAATGTGAAAAAACTGCCAAAGACAAATTTTTCTGTCGGTCAGAATTACTGGTTCTATGGACTCAAATGGTAAGAAGAACCACCCAAAAAACAGTTCAAATCAATTCGTATTTTAGGAGAATTTCACTTATGAGAAATGAACAAGATGTGACTATCAACCTATTATGTGACGAAGAAAAAACGCTCCAATCACATATAGGCTGGAATGTGGATGTGTGCATGGAAGTGGTTTTGGCATCTAAATATCCGTGCAAAACTCTTCGTGCCACTACCCAACATCATCGATTCACTGGTGGCGATAGAATTTACAAATGTGAAAACATAGCTAAATGGTCTGACTTGAATAATGTTTTCAAAGGATTTTTAGAGAGAGACACTCTCAGAATTGAGCTCAACGTTCAGATCACACACATGGGCGGTTTACGGAGAATTATGAAAAATTTTGATGAATCAAATAGAGAGTTTTCTGATGTTGAATTGCTGGCGGACGGTCAAAGATTCTTTGTGAGCAAATTGGTGAGTATTAGGGGTTCGGAGTGCCTAAAACCTGCTATAGAAGAGCCTTAAACTTTGAACTTTGAGCAAATAATTCACGCCTTCTGTCAAAGATAAAAAAGAGTTGTTAATTGGTACTTTGCTTTGAGCTCAATTATCTCAGCACCTATAAGAGATATCCGAAAGTGACTAACTGACAACATGTTTATCATAATATTATCAACATTTAATCAGTTGACAAAATTTTGATATCTCTCATAAAAACCGAGATAATTGAGCCTAAAGTGAACGTATACGGTGGGCTTTATTAGAACACATATGGTAATTAACTTTGAGCTCGACTCACTCAATTTACAGTTAACAACAGTTTGCAAATTACAAAAATGTTGGTTGCGTTATGACAAGGATTTTATCAATTGATACTTTTCGATATCTTTTGAATGAACAGAGATAATTGAGCTCAAAGGCATTCACTAGAGAATTTATGGTATTCCTGTTAAGCTTCAAAAGTTTCAGTAAAAACTCGCATAAAATGCCCTCAAACCGTCAACTTTGGACAAATAATTCGGAGGGTACAAACATTTAGGGGTCATTGGGGTCATAAGAAATATCAAGAAGTGTGTCAACTGATAAAACGTTGGTGATTTTATGATAAACAATTTATCAGTTGACAAATTTTTTATATCTTTTGAAGGAACCGAGATATTTGAGCTGAAGCGCATACATGAATGGCAGGCTTCTATTAGATCATTTACGATGAAAATGAGCAATTTAAAGGCTCACCATGACAACCCATGTGAATCTGTGTATGTTGTTCCTCCGTCACTTTGCATTAAAACC